GGTTTCCTCACTGTTATCAGAGCCTGCGCACTTCCGCATTTTTGACAGAAGAAAACAGGCGCTCTGTGGTGTTACGAAAAAAAAAGCCTTGAAGATCCGCTCAATGAAGCATGTATCTCATACTCAGATACACACATGGCCAACAGTCATTATTAACACCCGGATAAACGATCAGAGCTGCTTGGGGGACCTGCTTAAAACAAATAACTAATTTAATTTTAGGTTAGTTTGGTCAATAACTGAGTTAGCCAGGTAGTTCGCAACTTTAAATCGTAGCTGTATGACCGTAGGTGCCACAACCGTAAGGTATATGTTGTGCTGGTTTCCTGTTTCTACATTTCAGCACAAAGGACTGCTCCAACGTAACGGCAGAACACAGAAAGTCTAGACTAGTTTGTATCTAGCCATTTTCTTTAGTTATTGAGAACTGTATTTATCTACAAGTGGGAGCACTCATTTGTTTTATAAACTGATAGAATTTGGTTCGAAAACAAAAGAATAAGCTTCACCAGAGGAGGGATGGTCCGGACGCGGGTCTGGTATATGAAAAAGGTTTGAATTGCGGTTGGTTGCATTTGTGTCCCTATACCAACGTATATTGCTCGACTGCGTAAGCCGAGTGCCTAAACGAGTATAATATAAATCAGGCTTTTAAATTAATGATATATTCAGAGTTAAAAACGGACACAAGAACAAAACTAGTTTCCATAACATTTTTTTTTTCGCGAAAGGCGCAGCAAAAGATCGCTGCAACAGTAAATGTGATAATACACTAAAATTAGTCTTTGCTATCAACACTAAACAGGCATGTTTCAGATAGTAGCCTTTTAATTTCACAGTCCCTAGAAAGGCGTTTCCCATTGAAGACTTTATGCAAACTTGCTCTCTTGCTCACCTTCATAAAGCGGAGCCTCGGCACCGTGATCTCAGAATCTGCGGTCTCCTGTCGATCGTGAAGATGCAGCAGCTCGCTTTTACTTCTCTGTTAATATCGCTTGTGCTGCCATGTGAGTTTTTTTTGTAGCGGATAGTTTCTTTTTTTTTCTTGCTGTGTGTTCTTGCCTATTGAATGACTGTTTCGCTTTCTGTTAACAGGTGTCCGATCCGATATCGTCTTGACCCAGCCCAGTCAACCGGAGATTAAAAAACCCGGGGAAACGGTGAAATTGTCCTGCAGGGTCTCAGGTTTTACTCTAAGTAGCAGCTATTATATGCACTGGATTCGACAAGCTCCCGGGAGGACCTTCGAGTGGTTACTGTACATCAGAGGAGACAATGCGGACATCAGCTACGCCCAGTCCATTCAAGGGCGAGCCCTGGCCTCCACGGACAGATCCACCACAGCGTACCTGGAGCTGAGGAGCCTGCAGACAGACGACACCGCGCTTTACTACTGTGCGAGACAGTCACGGTGAAGGAAACAGATGACGAGTCTGTACAAAATCCTCACAAGCACTGAACTCGCTCCCCCCCTTTCCCGAATCAAGGGCTGCTTTTGTTTAATTAAAGAAACACGACAGTTCCCCTCTTATAAAACGAGATGAATACTGTAATCAGCGAACTAACCAGCCATCTCGTATTACCGACTGTTTGGAATATTATGTAACATTTACCTTTACACTTCTTTTTGGATCACAGTATCAGAAATAAATAATGTAGCACTTTGTATATGATATGTTACTTCCTCACAATTTGGAACTATTGCTTTTATTAGTTTATTATTATTTCATTATTCACTAATTTATATATTCCTTTTTCGTGTCCTCTCGGTTTCATGTCTGCAATAATGATTTGACGTAAAATTTCATCTTTATGCTTGGATCAATATGCCATTTTGAAACACCAGAGCAACACAGGTAATAGGTAAAGATTCATTTCACACTGAATTCCTTTCAGCCTGGAATAAACCTTTACCTGTTCCTTTGCAGCCTACACATGCTGTTATAGCTACTGTCTTGAACGGCTTCAACACAGGTAATGATGGATCTCATTCAAAAGTGTTTTAAATTCAGGCACTGACAAAGTCAGTCCACTGGGCTTTGGTTTTGAAGAATGATTGTATTTATCAAGCTATCTCTTTCTTATTTATATCTGATGTTTAACACAACAATTAGAACACAAGAAAGGTTACAGAGGAGTTGGGTCTATTTGGGTCAATTAAATTAGGTGTTCGCATAAAAAAATAAATTTTCCTCTGTGACTGTGAAAATCTCAAGAGCACTGAGAGTGAAATCAAGCCATTACTTTAAACTGAGAAAACAGCCCTGAAAGTCAACTCATTCATATCATATCATATCCCTTCACTGAATAGTGAAGGACACGTTGTAATGACATGATCTCAAGAATCATCTTAACACACTGCAGTTTTTTCAGATGACAGGACTGGTGTCAGGAATTCTGAAAGGGGTGAGTAGTTGGAACCCTGTCTGAAGCCGTGAGTTCGAGCAAAAGTAAATCCAAGATTCCAAATTTTTCATGACTTTGCTCTTGCCTCCAAGGCGTAAAGCAAGAGCAAAGTCAAAAGTAGGAGAACCGGGTCGAGTAATCAAGGAGTCAGGTTGAGAATAATAGCGCGCAGAAGAGAAAGCTGTGGAAGACTTCTCAACAGTGAGCGTAGGTAAGCTGGTGAAGAGAGAGAGACGTGGTTGGATAATTAGTTCCTGGATGAGCGTGTGTGGAGTTCAGTAAACGTGGGAATGCCAGGGCACTTACGGGAGGAGGTACGAGTCGTGACAACTGGGCTCAGTTTTTCCTTTAGCTTGATGACCGAAGGGCAGCTTTAATGGCCTGTTGGTTTGTTTGATGTCCAGAACTGGGTGGTCCATCTGTGACAAAGACAAGATGAAGTTAAAAGCCGGAGCGGGATCCGGCGAAGGGTCAGGGGAATGAAGAGGGTAACGGGTCCAGGCGCTCCCAGCCCCGGACCCAGATGGTCAGGATGCCATTGTGAAGCCTATGCCGTCGAGCCTTTCCTGAGCTTGCTGGTAAGCGGGCTTCCTGGCATCCATCTTCCAAAGCTGAACCCAGTTTGGTAGGAGCGTCTGGCTTTTAAAGGGGAGAGTGGAACAGGAGGCAGGTGCAGGAAGTCAGGTAAACAAGGAAGGGCTGGACCATCCTTAAGAGCAGGGGCTTATGATCATGACACCCACAAAGAAAAGTATTTTCTCTCAAGGATAAAGATCCATCTGAGAGTTTATGATTTATGCATGTTCTTTTTATTTACTGAGCTCCAGGACTGCAAAGCTGATACTTTGCATGTGGGTCTATACAACTTCCTGTATGCAAATCAAATTACATTTTTTTCTATTAAACGAGCACTTCTCCCTGTTTCGAGATACAAGGATCTAGCACTGTCATTGCAATTAAAGGCATTGATCAGTTACATCTCTGCTTATTCTGAAAATGGAATTCAAAGTCTGTTTGACTGTGGTTCTGATAACTGTAACATGTAAGTATATATAATATACATATAATTCTATCTCAGATTTCTCAATATGTTACATCACAGTTACTTTACTTTGCTGATTACATGTTTCTTGCAAATCTTTTTTTTTAACTAGGTGTGCAGTGTGACATTGTTCTGACCCAGTCCCAGTTGGAAGTAAAGAGACCTGGGGAGTCTCTCCAGCTGAAATGTGCTGTCAGTGGGTTAGATGTGGCCAGTAATGTTATGAGCTGGATTAGACAATCTTCAGAGAGAGGGCTGGAGTGGATAGTTAACTATTACTCTTCATCTGATAGACCGCTACGCCACAGCCTTTGAAAGACGGTTCTCGGCATCAAAGGACAGCTCCAATGTGTATTTACAGATCTCCAGCCTCACAGTTGAGGACACAGCTGTGTATTACTGTGCACGGAGGAGCACTGTGGTGCTTTTCAGCAATGAATATGTACAAAAACTGACAGCAGCTGTAAGAATTGAGATAATCTGCTGTTGGAAGCCTGTATGCACGGTTCACGGGTCAGGAATGTAATTTGTTTACTGTTGGCAGTAATATTTGGATACTATTCAATGCAGAACAGTGGCTGGGGTATAATGGAAACACAAATTGCGCAAACAGTGTGAAACGACTTACTCTGATCAGGGACAGCTGGAACAGCAGGTCTTCACTAACACTGAACAGCCTGAAGGCAGAAGGCTGTGCTTGATAAACACAGTAAAATAAACTGACACAACCATAATACAGCTAGAGCTTCCTCTTTCTAAAGCTGATGCCCTCCCCACACACTCTCCACCTCAGGGGGCAGGTAAATAAATGGAAGAAATAAATGGTGAAAAAAGAGTTTAAGGTCTATGAATTGCAACTAACTGTTTTCTGTGAGCCACAGCTGAAAATAACCACCCACCCACCTACCGCAACGTCATCTACTCAGAGACAATAAGTCAAGTGTGAAAGTCACTGAGGAATTATTGAAGGTTACAGTCCTTGGAATAATAGGATAAAATGAAAATATTAGAAACTTGCTTCAAAACACTGCAAATGAAGTTCAAAAGTTTAGGAAAAACACTGTTGTCCTATGTCCACTTTCATATCGTTAGGTCAGGACTGCCCTGTGCCCATTTTTCTCACAACACTTCTTACCTTCCCATCCACATCCATATAGCAGCTTCCCAGCTCATTCCTCAGGAAAATAAAGAAGATTCAGTCAGGCTGCCTCTCTCTCAGCTAGACAAGTCACACAAAAGTATGGCTCATGGTCAGCTGATTCCTATAGAACCAAAGCTTAAGTTACAACTAAGATCAATAACTGCTAGACATGAGAATACTGTAATAGGTTTAATGCTCACAATGTTGCAGCACCAAGAACAGCTCCCAGTATACTTTGGTCATACCTGCATACTTGGAATTTTACCAACAAACTGTGTCCTGTTTTTGTAAGGGACGCATTTCTGTGCAAAAATGCAAAGATCAGGTACACTTTTTTTCCTGCCAAGAAATGTTTAACTTGTCTACTAATTCGGACTGCAGGAAAAATCAAATGTGTTAATTTCCTATTGAGCTTGATCGCGCCACAGTGAGCAGCATTCTAAAAGCTGCTGGGCTCTTGGACATTATTCTTCAAATTAAAGAAAAACTTGAATGTGAACAATGAAGACTTGTTCTTGAATTCTCAGATGGATAACGAACATGACGCAACACAAACGAGACTGAAATACTTCCAAGCAGTCAATTTTGTGCTCAGTGCAGTATCGCATTTTACCAGAAGGGGGCACTTCCCTGCCAGCCGTGTGATTCTTTCACGACAGTTTAGCTGACGCCTAATGAAATTCATACACTTCTGTGTAATGTTTTATTAAACACTGATATGATGTCTATGCGTGGTTTCAATTTATGTGATTATTATCTAGATGAAGGTGGGCAGATCAGATTCTGAGAGAACAGAACATGAAGATGCACAAAGATACTGCAAGTATTTATTCTGCTGTAGAATGAGATTTCTGTACACTAGTATGTTTTGTATAGTACAAAATATGATTCAACAATAATTTTAATGAGTATAATCAAGTTGATTGATAGATGGATGGATTGAATGGTCAGCATAAAACTTCCCTTAAAACTAAAACAAATCATAAAGTATATACTTCCTTATTAGAACATTTCTTTTCCTATCTGTAGATTACATATGTACATAAAGGATATGACATCTAACAGACGGACTTTTTAAAATTGTGTCTTCATTTCTAAGAATCAAGCTATTTTGCACCAGCCGGATGTATTTACTTTGTCTCTCCTTCTGACATCTCAACTCTACATACAGCCTTTGTGCTCTGTCTCTGTAAAGCTCAGCCCACCGACAGCTCGGGACTGTCTTTTCAGCTGGACACTGGAGGAGAATCTACACTCTGGCTTTTAAGCTTAACTTAAAAGCTATCTCACACCGGTGACAGTCTATTGCTCACATGAACAAAAAAAAAAAAAACAGATGCAGGAAAACACTCACAGGAATGATAAAAAAAGATCAACTGCTGTAACTGTTATTATTACAGCAGTAGCATTTATTATTGTTGTTTAATTAAAATGGACATTATACTCTTTTATTTGGGCACTATGAGACACAAATCCAACTTTCCCATATCAATGAAAAAGCAGCGGATTTATATCAAAATGCTACTTTCAGATTTAAAAATCAATAAAGCAACGTCGTGTTTTTTTCGCACATAAGTTGTCACAATCCTTTGACAAGGTCTTCCTTTCTACCCATTTATTCATAAGTCCAATAACAACAAATCTCTTTGCTTACAAATATATATATATTTTATTTACAGCGCAAATAATTGTGCGCAAGCTTCACACTTACTGTACTCTTTAATCTTTACCAATAAGCAGAGGTCCAAATGTGACTTCCTTCGTTGTGAGATCTTGAGAAGCACGCGTGCATAGTTCCTGTATGAAGAACATGGTACAGTACTTCAGTGAAAAATAAGCTTCTGATGGAATCCGCTTAATTGTTTTAGCAAGCCAGAAATCAAATAACGACAAATATATATATTTAACTTACAAACTTAAACGCAGGTCGTTGGTAAGACCAAGGCTGAATCTCTGTCCTGAAACATTAGAAATGTCTTGACGGACGGGGGAGGTTCAGTCAGTGTCCAGACACGCCTTGAAGAGTACCTCTTTTCTTCCTTCTCTGTCGCTGTGTCTCTACGTTAGTGTACGATTTGGAAGGGATCGCATTTCCTATTCATAACACAAACCAAAGAGATGCGAATTTGGAACGTCACCTTCCAGGTATTGCTTGAGATATTAGCTCATTGCCATAACTGAAGTCCGAGACGGAACGGAATAAATATGCAACAATCCACGTCTGTGTTTGCCAGCAAAAAAAAGAACATAAATAAGTCATTTAGATATGCTGTAAAAATGTGGAATTTAAGAAGTGCCAAAGACAAGAACAGCTAATAGACTGGCACTTGCTGTTTTTAGTAAAAGTTATCACAGCGCTACTATTGTACATAGGAATGTCTTCAAGATCGGTAAGTAACAAAGCTGCCTCTGTCAGAGGTAACTGATTCTATCATCTTAAATCCCCGGTTCTTCAACAAGAATCAGGGAAATGGAAACCAGAACCATACACGCACTCGCCTCATAACGCGAAAGAAACAGGATGCAAGCATTTGAGAATCTCCTCCACAGCACAGAAAGAGATTTCGATTTCTTCTCCTTTGCACAACGTGTGATGGGCGCCCCCGCGATACCCTCGTTTGAAAGCCGCGATTTAAAAATCGAGGCACTTTTTTAATATTCTGGAATCTCCTGCACTTGAGGCTGAAAGAACGACAACCTTCGAAATCAGAGGCTTGGAAAGCGGCGAGACACACAACACGACCCGTTCCTCACAAGTCAAGTCCTCCGCTTTAAAAATATCCTCCCCCATGTGCTTTCGTTTTATTTTCTTTTGTGCAAAACAAGCTTTCGAGAAATACCCATTGAAATAAAGGCTGCATTGGAAAACGTGTATCTGGATTGCTTAAACGTGGCTGAGACAGGTGCCCCTTCCTGAAACGAATCATTCTTTGCATGAAATTATCCAGCGAATTGGCTTTGCAGTGTTTCGCTGATAAGTAACTGGGCTCAATATCACACGTACCGATAAGGAAGAGAGAGCATCTTAGTTTCCTTACCGTGCAGACGTTTCGTCAACGGTGGTTTTACACAGAGAAGAAAGCGCAGTTGGGCAGGAGCGCCTGCTAGAGAGCGACAGCAGAGTGGCGCAGCGGAAGCGTGCTGGGCCCATAACCCAGAGGTCGATGGATCGAAACCATCCTCTGCTAGGCACCTTTTTTTTACGCGCGGTTCAGCACATCATCACGTCCATAAACTGCAAATACCCTAGGTCCCTTCCTCAGTTTCTCTGTTTCTGAGTGGATGAATAATGTGTTGAAATATATGCACCGCAGACCTGGAATTCTAAGATGCACTTGAGTGTCGAGCAGCTTGTCCGGCACTGTTGAAGAAGCCAGTGGGGATGCTGCTCCCGTCTCAGTTATCGACTCAATTGTTGAACTGACTTTAAGCGAGGTTACTTTGAATCTTTCAAATCTGTAAGAAGCAAGCATGAGCAAAGAAAAACACAAAACGTATGGATTACAATCTTTTAAAGCTCAGGAAAGGAGCATTTAATGTTGTCTAGCCGCTTTTAAAGGGCTGATTTTAGATCTTTGTCGTTATGCTAGCATCATTTTTAGCGTTATAACCCTGACGTCGAGGTGCTGGTCGCTTTTTGTTCATTTCTGGCTTTTTAATCCGAGATTCCAGAGCATTAACAAAAGTGCTTCGACCTGTAAATCGCGGCTGTACAAACGAGGGAATTGAGGGAGCGACCATACACGCTGTGTGCGATGGAAAAGAAATCGAAATCTCTGTCTGGGCTGTGAAGCAGATTCTTTAATGCTTCCATCATATTTCTTTCACGTCAGGACGCGACTGTGTGCTGTACTGTAAGTCTGGTGGTCGTTTAACTGATTGTTGTTGAAGAATCGGGGATTTAAGATGACAGAATCAGTAGCCGCGGAAAGCCAGAAGCTTTGTTTCCTTACGATCTTTAAAACCTGCCTATGTCGTAGTGCGTGTGATAATTTGTACTAAAAACACCAAGGGCTCAAGGTGTCATCTTCTCTTACCGTTGACACTTGTAATCTCAGGCGTGCTTTTAGATGTCAAAGATAGACTACTTTTATTGAAATAAAAACTTGTATTTAAAAAAAAAGGGGGCGGAGCAGTGGCTCTGTGACTAAGGATGTGCGCCTGTGACTGGAAGGTTGCTGGTTCAAATCCCACAGCCAGCAGAGGAATCCTACTCCGCTGGGCCTCTGAGCAAGGCCCTTAATCCTAACTGCTCCAGGAGCACTGTACAGTGGCAGACCCTGCGCTCCGACCCCAAGCTTCCCTGTCTGTGTGTCTGTATCTCCATGGAGAAAAGCTGAGGTATGCGGAAAGACAGATTCCTAATGCAAGAAATTGGACAGGGCTAATAAAGAAACATTATACATTA